ATCAAATCCTAAACATTTGTTACCATATCACCATGTGGAGGATAAAAAGACAAATTCAATCATACACATGTTATATTCTTAATTCTTTCCGTTTTCTTTTAGATATCAAAATTTTTAATATAGATATTTACTAAAAATTTCAATTTTATTTTAAGTATTTTATTATTTTAACCAATAAAAATTAGAAAATATATAAAAATTTTGACATGATAAAAACTTTGGAAGAAAACTAATAATTAAAATAGAGAAAATATGTATTATTTATTGGAATTTGGAAGCCTCATTTCAAATTACATTCAACTTGCCAATTAAGTAAAGGTAAACAAACAAAAATGATTGATTAGTCTTTATTCCACCACTATATTATTAACCTAGCTTTATAAATTCGTGGAATTACTATCATCTTTAGTGCCCTAAAAACAAAGAAATAAAGCTATATTTTTTTCCCCTCAAAGAGGAGCAAAAACAATGTCATTTCCTAAGAAGAGCATAAAGAAATAAACTATATACAACATGAAGTCATTTTCTAATAATAAAGATGGCCCAAATTCTCCTTTCTTCTCACCCAATTGGACCCTTCCTCAATCCCTTCTTCTCCTTTAAATTCCCCTAATACCCCTTCTCACTTTCACTCTTTTATATTTCATCAAACCAATTTATTTTTAATCTTTCCTCTACCTCAAAGTTTGAGAGAAAGAAAAGAAAGAGAAAGAGAGAATGGTGGGTTCTTGAAGCTTCTCACATTATTTTTGCTAGCTCCCTTCATCGTTTCAAGAAATCAAAATACTATGTGTGATGATTGTTTCTTTATATAGTAATATATGTCTTTTATTTCTCAAAGTTTGGTTTTGTTTCTTGTTTTCTTTGCTCTATAATTACAGGAAGTGGAAGAAGAGGTCTCAAGATGGGAAGGCTACTCAGACTGGAGAAACAGAACAGCCGTGAAAGGCCGTCACGGTGGCATGCTCGCCGCTTCTTTCGTCTTAGGTCAGTTTCAAAAATTCCTAATCTACCCTTTGATTCTCTATTGATGCATCGTCTTCTTTTATCAACCACACATTTATATTATATAAAACGATTCTCTTTATGAATCATTGTTATTGATTTTTATTGTTATCATGTGAAGTGGTGGAGATATTAGAGAATCTAGCGTATTTGGCGAATGCGAGTAATCTTGTGCTATACCTAAGAGAGTACATGCACATGTCTCCATCCAAATCGGCAAATGACGTTACAAACTTCATGGGCACAGCTTTTCTCCTAGCTCTCCTCGGTGGTTTCCTCTCCGATGCTTTCTTCTCCACTTTTCAAATCTTCCTCATCTCAGCCTCCATCGAGTTCTTGGTAAACCTCTCCTTAACTATTCTTATAAATCACTTAACTCTTATAAAAATATTCAGAAACTCTGTTATCAGTTAGATTACTTTAGTTTAGCTTAAGTTCTAAGTTACTAGCTAACGTTGACTTTTTTGTTTATGTCTCTAGCCACCACAATCATAAATCCGTTCACATTACAATAGATCCACATGTATATCTATCTAACTATAGAGAAAGATATACATGTATAAAAAAACAAAATTATCACATATGAAAAAAAAGATTATGGTTGTAAGCAAAAATCCAACGAACCATGCGTGCATTGGTATGCTGATAAAAAGGACAAAAGCAAAGAAGGAGCGTGACTCTGATACGGTACCGTATCCGTATCTATACGCAAATGCTTTGTTTTTATGATCCTAACACACGACACATACGTGACTAAACATATATTACAAAATCGTATGTTGAAACGAGGACCTACCGTAGTTTTATTTTTTCAAGTGTCACAATCTCAGGGTCAAAAGAGGAAATTTCAAAACTCTTTTTTTCTTTGGGTTTCCCCAGTAAATAACACAACAACAACCTTTTTAATTGTTTTTGTTATCTTGTCTTTACGTTTGATAGGGTATGAAACTATAGTGTCCACTTATATAACATCTTGCCACTCGTACCCTCGTGACTCTGCCACTTAATGGTACAAAAGACAAAACAAACTTGTAGTTCTTAAGTACAGTTGAGGCTCTTAATGCTCTCTTGTAGTGGGTAAAGCGTTTCGTGCTCTTTCTTATACGGACGCAAACGCAAACACTCTTTAGTCTCTTCCCCATTATAGATAGTTAGATTTTGATGGTTCATGTAGTATATAGCTGACTTAGCTTATAATTTCATTATCACTTCTAGTTTTACTAAATTTGAGTCAGTTACTTATATGATAAGAAGTATTCATTGGATATAACATATACTAGAGTCCAAAATGTTTAGAATCCCCGGTGTTACGTTACGTCAGTGTAACTGAAGTTATTTCTTCGAGAAAAGGCATTGGCCAATGACACGACCACACGAAGATTAGGTTTTGTCCATACCTCATTTAATAACGACGTTTCATCGTTCGTAACGGTTTCAATTATTTGTATCACGTCGCTGGTCTGACTCTCACGCACCACAAGGGTTAAACTCTCTCACGTGCCTTGGTCCCGTATCCCCATACTATTCTTTGTTACTCCCAAAAAAACCGTTGTTTCTAATTAATGATTTTAACAAATCCAGTTTTAATATAAGCCAATGTGATTTGGGAAAACGTGCAGGGACTGATCGTACTCACAATTCAAGCTCGTACACCGTCTTTAATGCCTCCATCTTGCGATGGTGCCATGTGCGCAGAAGTGAGTGGTTCAAAGGAAGCGATGCTGTTCGTGGGATTGTACCTTGTGGCTTTGGGAGTGGGAGGTATAAAAGGGTCTTTACCATCTCATGGAGCTGAACAGTTTGATGAGAGTACGCCTAAAGGTCGGAAACAGAGGTCGACGTTTTTTAACTACTTCGTCTTTTGTCTTGCTTGTGGAGCACTCGTCGCCGTTACGTTTGTGGTTTGGTTAGAAGACAACAAAGGATGGGAATGGGGTTTTGGTGTCTCCACCATTGCTATCTTCGTCTCGATTCTCATTTTTCTCTCGGGATCAAAATACTATAGGAACAAGATTCCATGTGGAAGCCCACTCACCACAATCTCCAAGGTTTGCTTTGAACTCTTTAGTTCTTGAACTTTGAGATTGATAGAATAACTTTATACCCTATAAGTAATGTGTATCATTTTTTTGACTGATCAGGTTCTTATTGCGGCTTCAGTTAAGTGCTTCGCTAGTGGAAGTGCAAGCAATGCAGTTGTGAATATGGCAGTTAGTCCATCTAATCATTGTGTACCAAAAGGGAAAAAAGAAGAAGCTGAATCACAAGGAGAAGTTGAAAAGCCACGTCAAGAAGAAGTCATGCCTCCTCAGGCGCCACAACTAACCAACAGTTTAAGATGTTTAAACGGAGCCGCCGATGAGAAACCAGTCCATAGATTGTTAGCATGCACGGTCCAACAAGTCGAGGACGTTAAGATTGTGTTGAAAATGCTTCCCATATTTGCTTGCACCATCATGCTTAACTGTTGCTTAGCTCAACTCTCAACGTTCTCCGTCCAACAAGCTGCTTCGATGAACACAAAGATAGGAAACCTAAAGATTCCTCCAGCATCTTTACCAGTCTTCCCCGTTGTTTTCATCATGATCCTTGCACCTATTTACGACCATCTCATTATCCCATTTGCTCGAAAAGCTACCAAAACCGAAACAGGAGTCACTCATCTACAAAGAATCGGAGTAGGTTTAGTTCTTTCGATACTAGCAATGGCGGTTGCAGCACTAGTTGAGATTAAACGGAAGGGAGTGGCGAAAGACGAAGGCTTGCTTGACTCGAAAGAAACCTTACCGGTCACTTTCCTATGGATCGCTCTTCAGTATCTTTTCCTAGGGTCAGCTGATCTCTTCACACTAGCTGGACTACTAGAGTATTTCTTTACAGAAGCACCTTCCTCTATGAGATCTCTAGCGACATCTCTCTCGTGGGCTTCCTTGGCAATGGGGTATTATCTAAGCTCGGTGATCGTATCGATAGTAAATAGCATCACAGGGAGCTCAGGGAATACACCATGGCTCAGAGGAAAGAGCATAAACCGTTACAAACTAGACTACTTCTATTGGCTAATGAGTGTTCTAAGTGCAGCTAACTTCTTGCACTATCTCTTCTGGGCAATGCGTTACAAGTATAGATCAACCGGTTCGAGAAGTTAAAATCGAATGGTTCACTTTTGAGCCTTTTTTTTTTAATAATTATTAGAGAAGAAAATGTTTTTATAACTTGAGCGGCTGTTATATAAGAGATGAATGGGGATGCAAGTAGTTATGTTTGTGGTTAGGTAAATATTTGGGGGATTTGGATTTCTTGTTTTATATCGTTGGACAAGGAATGTACAGCGAATGGGATATTTAACTTGCTTTAGTCTTACTTTGAATTGTTTCTTGTTCTGTACGAAATAGACCTAAGCTTGGAAACTTTTGTAATACGCGTTGAGCTTATTTAACTTCATACGAAAGATGTGAAATTTGAAGGAAATGCTCTGGTTTTGCCATTTGTGGTGTGTATGACAATTACTTAGAAAACAATGACTAACAAGGCCCAATGAATTCTAATATGGGCCTGGAAGATAGTTAAGGAAACCAAACCCATTTATTTAGGTTTTTCTGGTTGGTGTTGAATGTTAATTAATCTGAGATTAAAAATTATTCTTTGTTTCATAGAATTCAAAGCCAGATTAGGAATTTTTTTGGGTCAAAATCTAAAATTCTGATATAATTATTTAATGCTAAGATGAATATAAAATTAATTATGTTGTCATTTTGTCAAGAAAGAAAAAGAATTGGATAAGTATTAAGTACTCAACTACTCATCTGTCAACTAAAATTTCTTTTTAATAGTAGAAAATTAAAAGATAAATACGAGGTATTTATTACCAGGTTTTTTTTTTTTTTTTTTTTTTTGTCATCTCATTTATTACCAGGTTTATCACGAAGGAATCACAACAATAAAAGCAAAAAAAGATTTTATGTTCCTAAATTTCGTTAATTACCAAAAATTGCTTAAGCAATTTCGCTGAACCTTCCTTTGTAATTTCCTCCAGCTTTCTTCTCTTTTGTGTTTGGTTCTGCTTTGTTAATAAAAATTGTGACTTTGCTTCCTCCTACACCTTACGCGGCGTCTAAGATTATTCTCTCTTTGTGTGTAATTTTCTCTAACTCCTCTGCTCTTCTATATAATCTAATTGTGTTTTCGACTTTTCGTTACTGTTGATTTCGTGGGCTTTCTCTTTTTTGTTGACCATTTTTGTTGGTTGATTTTGATTTCTTCTTCTTCTTCCTCTCTGGTGGGTTCTGTGACTGTAGGTTTTCGCGTTTTTTTGTTTAATTCTTAGGCTTTATGGTCAGCTATGACCATACTTTATAATATTTTAGAGCAGAGTCAGAAATTTTAAGGTCATCTTATAGAATCTGAGTCTACTTGTCGTTGAAAATTGCATAAAGATATGATTTTTTTAACGTTTTTGTCTCTTTGACGTATTATTTTGATTATAGTATCTTGTCTTGTTTCTTACTTCTTGTTTTTATATCCCTTAAACTAGTAATTTGATGATGGTTTTGAGTTGTAAAGTTTTGTAATTTTCATGCTTTCTAATGTTTTTAGTCACATTTGTTTCAGGAAAAAAAGTAAACATGGGTCAAGCTTTGGGTTGTATTCAGGTTGATCAGTCGAATGTAGCAATCAAGGAGACTTTTGGGAAGTTCGATGAAGTTCTTGAGCCTGGTTGTCATTGTTTGCCTTGGTGCTTGGGTAGTCAAGTCGCTGGTCACCTTTCCTTGCGTGTTCAACAGCTTGATGTTCGTTGCGAGACTAAAACTAAGGTCTGTTGATGACACTTCCTCTATCGTTCATGATTTGCTGTTATTTAGAGTATTGAAATGATGAAGGTTGTGATGGTTTTGTGTTTCTTTGTCATTTGTAGGATAATGTGTTTGTCACTGTTGTTGCTTCAATTCAATACCGTGCCAAACCGGAGAGTGCTCAAGATGCTTTTTACAAGCTCAGCAACACGAGGAACCAGATTCAAGCTTATGTTTTTGATGGTTTGTTTCAAATATCTCTCCTTTTTTTTTGTACTTCTTGATGTTTTTGTGTTTGCCTTATGATAACTAATTGATTTACCATTTTTTTGTATAGTGATCCGAGCAAGTGTACCTAAGCTGGATCTAGACTCGACCTTTGAGCAGAAGAATGACATTGCAAAAACCGTTGAGAATGAGCTCGAAAAGGTAAAACTACTTTCTAGCTATCTCCTAAAGCAACAATTTTGAAATTTCTGCTGAAAATGGGAAGCACCAATATGAGACTCTAAATGTCTGTTGTGTATAATATAGGCTATGTCTCATTACGGGTATGAGATTGTTCAGACACTTATTGTGGATATCGAGCCTGATGTGCATGTCAAGAGGGCAATGAATGAGATCAATGCTGGTATGCTCAGTTTTTGATATACATTTTTTGACTTCTATTGTATTTGCTGAGAATCTTACAATGTTTTGTTCTGTTTCTGTGGAAAACAGCTTCTAGAATGAGAGAGGCGGCGAGTGAGAAAGCTGAGGCAGAGAAGATTTTGCAGATCAAGAGAGCAGAGGGAGAAGCTGAATCGAAATACCTTTCAGGTATGGGTATAGCCCGTCAGAGACAAGCCATTGTGGACGGTCTGAGAAACAGCGTGCTCGCCTTCTCTGAGTCTGTCCCAGGGACATCTTCTAAAGACGTGATGGATATGGTTCTGGTGACTCAGTACTTTGACACATTGAAGGAAATCGGTGCTTCTTCAAAATCAAACGCGGTGTTCATACCCCATGGTCCAGGTGCTGTAAGGGACATTGCTTCACAGATCAGGGATGGTCTTCTTCAGGGTAATGCTGCTGCTGAGTAAGAGAGGTCTCAAAGTACAAAGCTTTTCAGGGTTTAGAGTTTTATTGCTACTTATAATTTCTTCGTTTTGTTTTCACTTTTCTACATGGAGTGCTTAAAAATACTTATCGTTGATCTTGTTTCTAGGCTTGTGAGTTGTGAGACTGGGATCCTCTGTCTTCTTTAGAGGGTTTGTGGATAAGATTTGGCATTTAAAATATCTGATACAATTTGGATTTTAGTGTGATTTATCATTTTTGTCAAGATTGGTTTATATAAAAAAATATTATTATTTTTCATCACTGTTCATAGGATTACAAAATGAATATTTCTCATTCCACTTTTACATAAATTTGTATTTGAAGAATTAAATTAATGTGATTGTGTATTGTACAAGTTCTAGTCAAATAACTTGCTTAACAAAAAGTTGTTACTACTTTTCAAGATATTTACGATTTCAACCAATGAGATCTTTGCTTAACGATTAAATCATATTCATATATTAAGTTTACCGACGTGGCAGAGATCGCGAAAAGTATAGCCCACATAAAGCTTACGTGGCATGTCTTTTAATTATATAAGTCCACGCAATACTCAAACTCGAATCTCAATAAAGGGATCTTTTCCTTTTATCAAACCCAAAAAGGTATTTATATCATTTTTTTATTGAATTATTTTTTATATAATAATTTCAACGACTCTAAACCTCTTCTTCACTCTCTCGCTGCAAAAAAAAATATCTTCTCTCTCGTTCACGGAGCTGTCATGTCCACAGTTCCCATTGAATCTCTTCTACACCATTCTCATCTTCGTAATCGTCATGAATCTAGAACCTATCGTGGAACTAGAAGCTTCTTGCCTTGTTCGTTGAATCTCCGTTCTCGTTTCACTTCCAACAAGCTACTACTGCTACACTCGATTGGTTCCGGCACGAGCTCTGGTTTTCGCAGCTCCAAGCGTAGAAGGTCCGTAGCGATTCGCGCTGGCTCTTCCGATACTGCCGTCGTGGAAACCTCTCAATCGGATGATGTGGTTTTCAAGGAGAATTTCTCTGTTCGGCGAATCGAAAAGGTATTCAAAATCCCCGAACTCACTCACATTTGCTGTTTGTTAGTTGAATCGACTCGATTGGTTGATTCCTGGATCGATGAGCTTAAAGATCATAGGTTTTGGTTTTTGTGTGTGCTTTTTTAAAATTTTAATGGATTTTGATTTCGATTTTGGAATTGTAGGCAGAAGGAAAGATTTATGTTCGATTGAAACAAGTGAAGGAGAATGATTGGGAGCTGAGTGTTGGATGTAGTATTCCTGGGAAATGGATTTTGCATTGGGGAGTTTCATATGTGGGTGATACTGGCAGGTCCTTTCCTTTTCCTCTTCTACCTTTTGTTTTTGGTTTTACTCATAAAAGTAGTGGACTAATGGGGAAAATTTTATTCCCTTGATGTTCTCTACTTTTTGAATTCGACAGTGAATGGGATCAACCTCCAGAAGATATGAGACCTCCTGGTTCAATTGCCATCAAGGACTATGCTATAGAGACACCTCTGGAGAAGCTATCCGAAGGAGATTTTGGAGTTACTATTAGTCTAAATTTGGAAAGCTCAGTAGCAGCCCTCAATTTTGTTTTGAAGGTTCTCTTGCTTAACCCTTAGCTATAAAGATGGTTATTCGTTTGCCCTTAGTTGTGCATTTATGTGGTAATGTTTGTTTTTCAGGACGAAGAAACGGGGGCATGGTATCAGCACAAAGGAAGAGATTTTAAGGTTCCTCTTGTGGACGATGTTCCTCATAATGGAAATTTGATTGGAGCAAAGAAAGTATTTGGTATGTGGCTAGGTTTTCTATATCTTTGAACTACTCTTTAGGCTAGATTTCTGCCACCTGTTATCTGGATTGCAGATTTTTCATTCTTATACTTATTGAATCTTCAAACTGACTGAGACTTTCTTTCTCTTGGATCTCTAGGTTCACTTGGGCAGCTCTCAAACATCCCACTCGAACAAGAGAAGTCCGGTGCAGAAGTTGAAGAAAAGAGCAAGAGCTCATCTGATTCTACAAAAGAAAGGAAAGGTCTTGAAGAGTTTTACGAGGAGATGCCTGTAAGTAAACATGTTGCCGATGATAACTCAGTCAGTGTCACTGCAAGGAAATGCCCAGAAACATCTAAGAACATTGTATCAATTGAAACCGATTTACCGGGTGATGTTACTGTCCACTGGGGAGTTTGTAAAAATGGCGGTAAAAGATGGGAAATTCCATCTGAACCTTACCCTGAAGAAACATCTTTGTTTAAGAACAAGGCACTACGCACTCGTTTACAGGTACGTGTAGAAGTATGTTCCTTGGCAAGAGTCGCATGTTAATATCTGAAAATCTGGCCAGAATCACTTGTGTTGTGTCTCTCTGATTTTAGTCTGTGAGATTCATATTAGTTCTTGGTTAGCACCTGGCATATTGGCAATTGTCCAAGTATTTTTCAGGTTGTGTATGCCTAGTTTTTAACTTAGTATTTAGAATGTTTAGCAACAGAATGAATTTGGTTTTTTGTTTTTGCACCATGTTAGACAGGGCCATCCTACTTTTACCATGTGATGCTGATGTGGCTGCTTCCAGATATTTTTTGGGCACCTAGAGATCATTTCATCTTGTCACCAAAATATTTTCTTTACCTTTTCTGTTAGATTATTTTCTGCTTCTATCAGTGACATTACCTAAGTTTTTATGCATATGAACATTCTACAGCAAAAAGACGATGGAACTGGATCGTTTGGAGTATTCTCTCTGGATGGAAAGCTTGAAGGGTTATGTTTTGTTCTCAAGTTAAATGAAAATACTTGGCTAAATTATAGGGGGGAAGACTTCTATGTCCCTTTCCTTACTTCAAGTAGCTCGCCTGTTGAAACTGAAGCTTCTCAAGTGAGTGAACATACACGGAAAACAGATAAAGAAGTGTCAGCTAGTGGATTTACTGATGAAATCATCACTGAGATAAGGAACTTGGCAATTGACATTTCCCATCATAAGAATCAGAAGACAAACGTAAAAGAAGTGCAGGAAAACATTCTACAAGAAATTGAGAAATTAGCTGCGGAGGCATATAGCATATTTAGAAGCACAACTCCAACTTTTACCGAGGAAAGTATTTTAGAAGCAGAGGCTGAAAAGCCTGATATTAAAATCTCCTCAGGAACCGGCTCCGGATTTGAGATATTATGCCAGGGATTCAACTGGGAGTCCCATAAATCTGGGAGATGGTACTTGGAACTTCAAGAAAAAGCCAGTGAGTTAGCTAAACTTGGATTCACTGTTCTGTGGTTACCTCCACCGACAGAATCTGTGTCACCTGAAGGGTACATGCCTAAAGACCTGTATAACTTGAATTCCAGGTGAGCTCTACATTTTGACTTAACTGTTATTATTGTCGCTTAGTTGCTTAAAACTTCATCATGAATCTGGGGTTATTCAATCTTCAAGTGGGATTAAATGAACTTCTGGTTGAGCGCTGTGGGATTAAATGAACTTCTGGTGGAGTGCTGTTTTTGTTGTCCTAAATGCATGGTCAGGTAGAGTGGAAATGTTTTTGTCTTATGACAGTTACTGATTTCCCATTCGTTTTTGTTGCTAGATATGGAACTATGGATGAGCTAAAAGATACCGTGAGGAAGTTTCACAAGGTTGGGATCAAAGTTTTGGGTGATGCTGTTCTGAATCACCGTTGTGCACACTTCAAGAATCAAAATGGTGTATGGAATTTATTTGGAGGACGTTTGAACTGGGACGATAGGGCAGTAGTTGCAGATGACCCTCATTTTCAGGTATATTTTTCTTATATAAATAAATAGAACTTTGATCTTATTGCTATATAAGAATTCTTTCATAGAAAAATGTGCCTTTTTGCTGAAGTATGCTACTCTATTATGTTTAATTTCGATTAATATTTTTTTGAGGGAGAAAAGGTGCTAATGGTCTCTATTAGCGCTGATGGTAATACATTTTCAGGGTAGAGGAAACAAGAGCAGTGGAGATAATTTTCATGCTGCTCCAAACATAGATCACTCACAGGACTTTGTTAGAAAGGATATTAAGGAATGGCTATGCTGGATGAGGTAAATTCCCCTGTTACTTCTTTGATTTCTGCTGACTGGTTTTGGTGTCTGATTATATCTGCCATTTCGATTCACCTGCAGAGAAGAAGTTGGGTATGATGGATGGAGGCTTGATTTTGTAAGAGGGTTTTGGGGAGGTTATGTGAAAGACTATATGGATGCTAGCAAACCGTACTTTGCGGTTGGTGAATATTGGGATTCGCTAAGTTACACGTATGGAGAAATGGACTACAATCAAGACGCACATCGTCAAAGGATTGTTGACTGGATTAATGCAACTAGTGGAGCTGCTGGTGCTTTTGATGTCACAACCAAAGGAATTCTTCATACGGTACTAAAAATATTCATCTTGTAGCATTTGATACAACATTGGAGTTTTGGTGTATAAGATCTGGTAACTTTCTGTGTGTAGGCTCTTCAAAAATGTGAGTATTGGAGACTCTCAGACCCAAAAGGGAAGCCTCCAGGTGTAGTTGGATGGTGGCCTTCTCGTGCTGTAACATTCGTAGAGAATCATGACACTGGCTCTACTCAGGTTTTGTTTCTCACCATCTCAACTGTATCGCCAAATTTCTGTTTAAGCCCATCTTAATGAATTTTTCATTGTTTCTAAAGGGGCACTGGAGATTTCCGGAAGGGAAAGAAATGCAAGGATATGCTTACATCCTGACGCATCCAGGAACGCCAGCGGTTTTCTTCGACCATATCTTCTCAGATTATCATTCCGAGATTGCTTCTCTTCTCTCTCTCAGGAACAGACAGAAGCTCCACTGTCGGAGTGAGGTAAAACAACTTTCAGGAACTCACACTCTCTAACCATATCTTACGAAAATCGGACGGATCTTGAAACCAGCCTTCTTTGTTTTCTTGTTTTTTTTGGGAATTATATATAAAGATGAACATAGACAAGAGTGAGAGAGATGTCTATGCAGCTATAATAGATGATAAGGTTGCAATGAAGATTGGACCAGGGCATTACGAACCACCAAACGGATCCCAAAACTGGTCCGTAGCCGTCGAAGGCAGAGACTACAAGGTGTGGGAAACATCTTAAGAAGCAGGTAATTTGTATCTGTGTGAAGTAGTAAGTAAATAAAAACTGTTCCTGGAGGGAAATCGTTATATATATATTATTTCAGGGAATAACCAGAAATAAGCTCACCTGGAAATGTAATGTAGAGTGGTGGGAATAAAACCAAATTTAAGGTTTGTCCCAATTTTTACAGTACTGAGAGAACATTCATCTTTGTTGTATCTGGATGTTAGTAAAGTGTGTGCATATATGTATTTGAAGACTATGTGTTAAGGTGATTTGGGTGAATAAAGTAGTCAAGAAGATATGTTTTGTCACTATAGATATATATGTATGAAATAACTAGTTATTCTTACTATGATGATAAAAATCTGACAAAGAGTCATGTATCCTGGAGAAGAAATACATGTTCAAATGTGAATAGCAATTTAAATGAATGAGATCGATGTTTGTTTATATCAGACAATAGTATAACATTCACACATATAGCCTTTGCAAGAACCACCGAGATAACCTTGACCATGACACTAATCAATACATCTTGCATCTTTGTCCATGCTGTTTGGTTGGCATTTGTCGTCTGTTGAATTTGGTACTTCTCTAAACTCTATCAAATTATGTCAAAAACATATTAATTGTTCTATTTTGCTACTTAAGAAAAATAAACAATGATATTTTCTATGATCCATACACATTTTTACCATTCTAGCAAGTAGCAACCCATACACATTTTCACTATTCTTAAGTTTCTTATAAGAATGAAAATGTGGAAAAACAATTGTGGATTTGATATTAAAGATACGTACAGTACATAAAACATGGTTTGTCCACATCGTTTAGGTATGTAAGATCTATTTTAACATGAAACACAAAATTGCTCTAAATAGTAAGGTAACATTTATATACCAAATTAAAATCCCTTTAACAAATAAAGATAGAACACATTTATATATACGAGAAAATGACTTGGCCACTATGATAGAGGATTTGATTTTGCGATAGATTGTAGAGCACGATGTGAGAGCTGATTGACTATATAATGTCATTATTGTGTAGAAGTAATATTCGCATATTATTTATTATAAAGATTTCAACTATATATCTAGATATATTATTTTATTTTATAAGGGTCTTATTATTAATACCACTAGATTGTAATGACATCATATATATTATATGGCAGACTAGTTTGCGGATCCTGCGCTCCTTTTTTCTCCTTATCATTTGATAACCTTCATAAGAACTATTCCTCTGTGAAGGTTTTACTAAATCTTAGTAAAGAACTTAAAGCCAGCCTAATAGCCAACTCGGATTTGTGGAAGAAGAATTGAGGAATCAAACAAGAGACTAGTCTAGAGGGTAGCTAGAGAGAAGAGAACCAATGTTGCCTGATCTAGCTTGGCTATGTTATGTTATGTGATTGGCAACAAATGTGCGTGTGAAGATGAAATTATGAGAACGATCGATGCCTAGTCTTCTCTCTCTCTCTCTCTCGACAATGTTTGTCTCTTCTTTGACATTTTATATAGTAATAAATTGGCATGTACGCCGGCCATAGTTTTATGGTTGTTAAACACTCTTTGATGTCTATACGACACTTTTAAAAAAAGAAGTAGTAGTATACGATTAGTTTCCTCCACCTAAATATAAAATGACCACATTCGTTGTTTGTATTATCATTCAAAGAGAGCAGCCTTTAAATAGTTAAATCTAATAATATACATTTTAATAACCCACATTACTTTATATATCAATATATGTTTCCAAAATAGAAAGTTCTTGTATCCTTTTATAATGTCAACTTCATTCTAGGTAGGCATGTCAATCGGGCTAGCCCGGCTCGGCCCGGTCCGAAACCCGTAAAGCCCTCATATATGTGAGTCCGGTCCGGCCCGGCCCGGAAAATTTCCGAGCCTATATTTCAAAGCCCGGCCCGGCCCTAACAGGGCTACCGGGCTTTTCGGGTTTTTTCGGGCTTTATTTACCGATAAAAAAATCAATTTCTAAGTTCATAATAGTTTTTTAAAAACTATATTTAAAGGTCTACTATTAAAATAATGCATCAAATTTTAAATAACTTATCAATATTCAATAAAACTAACTTAATTTAAGAGAAAAAATAAAAGCTAAATAAATTATTTGCACTTTAACCCAATAAAACATGGAACTAAAATACTTTAAAGTATAAGATAGAGTCAAAATTTAATAGATATTTTGATGATTTCAAAATCATGATACTTATATATATTTAGTTTTAGCTTTGTATAAAGATTTTAAAAGTAATAAGTAAGATTAATAAGTAAATATGAAAACTATAACATTAATCAAATCTTTTAATCAAACTAAAATATTCAAAAATTTCAAAATATATTTGTATAAGGGCTTTTCGGGCCGGCCCGAGCCCGACCGAGCTAAGCCCAAAAAACCCTTTAACCCGAATGGACTTAGCCCAAAAGACCCGGTTTTTTCTGGACATATATATTTAAGCCCGACCCCGATGTTTTTCAGGGCCGGGCCAAACTAGCCCGCGGGCTTTAGCCCTAATTGACATGCCTAATTCTAGGTAATTTTTTTTGCATTATTATCATCTTATGAAATTCATACTGTGTCTATTAATCACATGGATTTAGTCAACGTAATTAAAGTTAGCATGCAGATCGATGAGGTGTCATGATTTCATTGGATAGGATCACCACAATCCACCACGGCACATCCCGCCCGATCGAACCAACCGTGCTGTCAAATACTCAACACGCGTTGTACGGCTGAAACTTTCTTTTTACAAATTCACTCACTCACATGCGGTGTCCCAGTGCTCCATTATATTAGCAATGCTTTTTGATCCGTTATTTGATTTAATTCTTATTATTTTAGATAACCATAAGTTTAAGGAACTTATATAATCCAATAAAAAAACAAACATTAGCACTCTAAAATATGATAAAATTAAAATATTATTTAAAAAAAATATTTAAAATATTACTTCTGATCATGAGCTATAAATTTATCCATATATTATATATTATATGTGAATTTATAAGATTAAATATTATATATTATATATTATATCAAATTCGTGTGTTAGTGGTCATCTGTTGTTTTTTCACCAAATCTGAGTTCGAACCCGGTCTTTTTAACGAAAGATGTATAATTTGTAACATTGTCAAAAAAAAAAAAAAATTGAATTTATTAGATATTGTACATTCTTTCACAAAGATTTAATTTTATTTATACGGATTCATGACCAAGTACAAGTATGAATACGGTACATGCGAAAGTGAACACTTGTTTTCAGTTACCTAATTATATATGAACTAATAATATATATTTAATTACTTTATGATGTAAATTTCAAAGAAATTGAAATATTCCAACATATTAATGTTTAGACCAGATCCATCTGGATTGCAATACAATTTGATATTTTTTAGTGATAAATAATAATATTATAACCAAATTTAAATTTATTTATATGACCAGAATTATAATATGGTGTTACGCATTAATTTCATTATATAATGCCTGAGTCGTCTGTTTGAGATCATTCAAGAATATAGAAGGAGCTGGTAACATGGTGGTGGTGATAAACCACTATAAACAATAGTTTTTTAAGTTCTGTATTTCCTCTTATTATAATGCAAAGTCAAATACTATAGGCTTTGGGGTCCCTTTATATAAACCTACTTAGGCCAAACAAAGAAGACAATAATTTTATTTTATTTTTTTGCTGCAAAGAAGAAAAAGAGCAGATCCAGTTTGATTTCAAGATCGCATCTGAATCATAATATATATCATGATCAAAGAGGAGACTGTTTCATGCATACAACCTCTCGATGGTGTTATGGAAGAATCTGATAAGGTAAAACTTAAAACCATTTCTTGATTTGTAAGTGTTTAAAATTAAACCACATCTTTTCTCTGATTAAGTTGGGTTTTTTTCTCAATCTCCTTCTGATGATTTCAATCGGTGAGAATTAATCTAATGTTCATATGATGCTGTTTATGCATATAGATTCACACTAAGTTACTTTCATGTAATTCTTATGTCTGCAATTAGTACATATTTACTCCATCTAATAAAAGTCAACTTGCTTGTTCGGAAATGGTCTCGAGACTCGAGTATCGAAAAGTTCATTATTTTTGTATCATGCTTTGCACAAACATAAAAATTTATTTGGGTCGGTTAATATTGAATGCTCAAAATATTTGAAATATTTCGGATGGAAACATGTAATTATATAAGATCCGCTCTATCCTCTAAACTAAGTCGGATACAATTTTTTTTGTTCTTGGCATTTCTATAATACTATTCACTTTTGTGTGTGAGTTATCGTCAAGTTCTTAAGTACAAAAAAAATTTAGATAAATGTAAACACATGTAATTAAGGAATGTGAATATATATAAATGTATGTGGGATATATACAGGAAGAGGAGCTTGATGCAACAAAAGCAAAGGTGGAGAAAGTTAGGGAAGAAAATGAGAAATTAAAGCTCTTGCTCTCCACGATTCTTAATAACTACAACTCTCTTCAAATGCAAGTCTCCGAAGTTATCCGCCAACAACAAGGAGCTTCTACGGAGCTAGACGTTGATCATGATCATGACAAAGATAACGACGATCTTGGTGTAGATATATCACTTAGGCTTGGAAGATCACCAGAGCAAACGGTCTCCAAAAGAGAGGAAAAGTTTGACAAGGTTTCTGATGATAACGAGGAAGGAACAAGAAAGAAAAGATCTGCACTGGCTTTAGGATTTCAGATTCAAAATTGTGAAGATTCGACCTCGAAATTAGACTATCTTTGTAGACAAGTTAAGAATGTAAACAACGCGGAGAATAAATGTGTATCGTCGAGGAAAGATGTCAAAACAGCTAGAAATGAAAATCATCATCAAGATGTTTTGGAAGAGCATGATCAAGCAATTTTGAAGAAAACTAGGGTTTGTGTTAAAGCAGCATGTGAAGACCCATCAGTACGTACCACCAAAACCATACATTACATATATATGTTTTTAAAAAGCATGTAACATCTCTATTAATTAATTGTTCATATATGTTACATGAACGTATAGATCAACGACGGTTGCCAATGGAGGAAGTACGGTCAAAAGACAGCAAAAACCAATCCTCTTCCACGAGCCTATTACCGTTGCTCCATGTCCTCAAATTGTCCCGTCAGAAAACAAGTAAATACATTTTTTAACAATCCAAATATATTTTCATGGTGAATTGGTTTTGAGTTAAGAACCATACTATATATATTTTTTACTGTCCATGGGTTTTGAGTTATTAACTCATAAAATATAAATATATGTCTATAGGTACAAAGATGCGGAGAAGAAGATACATCCGCGTTTATGACAACATACGAAGGAACTCACGACCATCCTCTTCCCATGGAAGCAACCCACATGGCAGCTGGAACTTCCGCGGCTGCCTCTTTATTACAATCTGGTGTCTCCTCTTCCTCCTCATCCACCTCCGCGAGCCTAAGCTACTTCTTCCCATTTCACCACATCTCTATCTCCACCACTAACTCCCACCCCACAGTAACACTGGACCTCACAAGACCAAACTATACCAACCAATCACCAATATCTTCCTCCTCTTTCAGTCTCAACTTCTCCTCCTCTGATCCTCCACCTCCATCATCTCAAGATCACACCTTGAACTTTAGTGGCTTGCGAACACAAGCTCCTTTGAGTACAGATTCCCTAATGGCCCGTTGTCGAACGAGACTTTCAGGACACCAGTAACTATATATATCCGTTTCCTTTGTCATTCATTTGATTTTAAGCCTCAAAGAAATATTTGGTTTTGGCATGATATGCGAATTGCATGTATACTTGTATATATCCAAGTGTTTAAATTAGTGGATTACCAATCATATCATTGAGCATATGAAATATGAAGCTTTTGTAAATGTATACTGCCCTACAAACAATTTACTAAACAAAATATAAATTTACTTTTTGTATAATAACAAATGTAAATTACAGTGTTACATATATGTTCGGATGAATCAGGTAGGTAGAGCACTAACTCTTACAGTTATTTCTCGTTAGTAGAGCTTATTGCTTAGTTACCTCGTTTAGCAAAAATCATATTTGTTATTTCTTGTACATTCTTCTCCTCCCATTGGACAACCAATTGCACATAAAATAATATGTTATTTGACAAGTTATTGATCATGTAACTAATTTTTTAAAATAGCTTAACAATTATTAAAATAATGTATAATATAGATTTGGCGAAACAGTGATCTTGTATCATGAATTCATGATTAAAACATGCAACACATACAATTTAGTGTAAAAATGCCGATACCACTCTGAGTATAACCATCACGCACGTTTTAGTGTATACGCCATTCCTTAACATCTACAATTTGTTTTGAGTATTCCACATCTCTTATACAACTTCTTGCATGTTCAATAATATATGTTTACTATTTTCTTCTGCATTATAAAGTAGTGGCACTTCTAAGGCTCGCCAAGTCATGCCACGCGACTTTTTATTTTCCAATTCAACATTTTTTCACAATTTAAAACATGACATTATATGTACATACAGTACATACAGTAATTGGCATTGCGATGGCAATAATGGATTTCAAAAGCACTATGAAACAACACAATCAAATATTCACAAATGAGTTTAGCACGATTCCATTATGGGCTAAGGCCCATACTGAACTCTCTCTTTCTATTAGGAATCGGCCCATCCACGTCAGAGGCTCCGTTTGTAGCGCTGTTAAACTCTTTGACACACGACCACCTTAATGTAACGCCACGTGTCAATACACTTCAACAGGTCGCGCGTAACCGCCAGTCAAGCGAAACCAATTAAAGGTTTCAACTTCCCGACACGTTGCTTATCCGACCACGAAAGTCGAAACACTCCACTGTTCTAGATTCTCTTTCTTTCTTTTTTTCCCTCAAGCAAAAAAAAAACTTTTTTTTTTTTTCTGGGTTTCTTTTAGTTTCCTATCTAGGAATCACCGTAGTGTGCTTTGTGAAATTTCAATTGAATCGATCGGTATCAAGATATGGCGGAAAATGAAGAAGTAGATAAGAAGATAAGATCAACAGTTTCGAGCTGTGAGGCGTATTTCGATAAAGTTCAGTCGAGGAAGAATCTTCCCAAATCTCTTCAAGAAACCCTTAACTCTGCTTTCGCCGGAATCCCTGTTTCCTCCTTCCCTCAAGTTCCCGGCGGCAGAGGTATCAGAAAAATCCAAACTTTACTCAATATGACTATGTTTTTAGTTTTGCATTTTAGATTTGATATAGTTTGATTCCGTGAATCAGTGTGTTTGTTGCTTAGTTTATTTAGCTTCTATATGTTTTGTTTGATCACAGTGATAGAGATACCAGCGGAAACGCCTGTGTCAGAAGCAGTAAAGATTTTATCAGACAGCAAGATTCTTTCAGCTCCTGTGATCAACACAGATCACGAGAGTTCTTTAGATTGGAGAGATAGATATCTAGGAATCATTGATTACTCTTCAATCATCTTATGGGTACTAGAGAGTGCTGAGCTTGCTGCAATCGCCTTGTCTGCCACCTCTGCAACCGCTGCTGGTGTTGGTGCAGGAGCTGTTGGAGCTTTAGGTGTTGCAGCGCTCGGTGTCACTGGTCCCGTTGCTGCAGCGGGTCTTGCTGCGGCTGCGGTTGGAGCCGCAGTTGCTGGTGGTGTTGCAGCTGACCGTGGGATGGGGAAAGATGCTCCAACTGCTGCTGATAAATTGGGGAAAGATTTTTATGAAGTTATTCTTCAAGAAGAGCCTTTCAAATCAACCACTGTAAAACTACTAAAATGCTTTGTTTGCTTAATGGAAATCGAAAATGTCGAATTTGTGACAGTTTTTGATTATGGATATGTTTGTATTGGTTTTTTCAGGTTAGAACGATACTTAAGTCGTTTAGATGGGCTCCTTTTCTTCCAGTGTCTACAGAGAGTTCAATGTTGAGTGTTATGTTGCTACTCTCTAAATACCGGTTAAGAAATGTGCCGGTTATTAAAGCAGGAGAACCCGATATCAAGAACTACATTACTCAATCTGCAGTAGTTCAAGGTCTTGAAGGTTGCAAAGGCCGAGATTGGTTTGATCACATTTCAGCTCTCCCCATTGCTGATCTTGGCCTTCCTTTCATGTCTCCCAGTGAGGTAAGAATATAATACACTTTTAAGAACTTGACATTTAAATGGCAATAGGCTTGCAAACTGGTGAATTCAAACTTATTTGGGTTCAGGTTATTAGCATTGAGAGTGAAGAACTAATTCTTGAAGCATTCAAGCGGATGAGAGACAACAACATTGGTGGTCTCCCTGTAATCGAAGGGCCGAACAAGAAGATTGTTGGAAACATAAGCATGAGAGATATCAGATATTTGCTTCTACAACCTGAAGTCTTCTCCAATTTCAGGTTTATTTACTTTACTCGCTTGTTTTACATTACAACTTCTGGTTACTGTGAAATTTTCTCTAACTAAGATGATCTCTTTGTCTATGATAAAGACACCTTACAGTGAAGAGTTTCGCGACAAAGATTGCTACCGCGGGTGAGGAGTATGGTTTAGCGATTCCCGCGATAACATGTAGGCCTGATTCGACTTTGGGGAGTGTTATAAACAGTTTGGCTTCGAGGTCGGTGCATCGGGTTTATGTAGCGGCTGGAGAGGAGAATGAGCTTTATGGGGTTATAACACTGAGGGATGTGATCTCTTGTTTCGTATCAGAACCTCCAAACTACTTTGAGAACTGTCTAGGGTTCTCGGTTAAAGAAATGCTTAACCGATGATCTCTTGTTTCTCAGCTTTACATATTTGTCTTTGTTTGTTTGTTCTTCCTTGGTTTAGATTCTGAAGTTGTTGTCTTTATATCTAATTTTTAACCACTTTTTAGTTTGAAAGTTCTGTCATTTGTGATTTACCTTTACAAAATCCTAATAAAAAATTTGAGTGGACATGCGTAAAATTTGGAACTTGACACAGATATAAAGGGGATAATATTCATTATAGGATTTAGGATGACACTCTCCTTCCAACAGTAGCAATGTAGCATATGAGTGTACAAAATTGGTTTTGATGTGAAATGATCATTGGCAAAATTTAGGAGTTTTATATTTGGGTTATCACAAAATTTTGGATATTATCAGGTGGTAAAAATGCTATTTAAAACTGGGTGAGTTAAGCAAATAAAGTGATATTATGTAATTTAATATATTTTCAAATAAAATACCATAATATTGTGAGTTAAATTTCGCGTGAAAATAAAAATGCACATAAATAGCATAATATTATGTAATTTAATGTTTTTTGGATAATACCCAATATAGTTCGTTAAAATAGTGCAAAATTCATATAATCTTGAAAATACATATATAACTTTTAAGTATTTTATTTATAATTTTGTTGAAAATTTAGTTATAAGATGTATAATTTCTTCTAAAAAATGAAATTTTGTTGACCAAAGAAAATATAAAATAAAGTTTGGAACTTTTGTATTAAATAAAAGAAGAGCATTTCCCCAATGCATGGTTTGGTTGTCACTTTCAGGTGGCGCAGCGACCCAATCATCCCCTGTCTTTTACCAGACCACAAAAACCCTAAATTCTCGACATCTCTTTCTCCTCCGTTGGTTCAAATCTTCTACCTCAAGTGTTTGATCTCCGCTGATCTTACGAAAGTTCATCCCTTTTTCATCTTGAGAATCTCAGGTTTTGTCCAATTTTCAAATCCTGTTTTGGTACTCTGCTCTGTTCCTTAGCCAATTCTTTAGAATCCGACATGGATGATTTAGGAGTTCTTACGATTTTGAGAGGTTCTGGTCTCTTTGTTAGTTTTATTAAGACCCTTGTTTTTAATTCTGGTTCTGGGTTTGATCTAGCTCATGTCAGGATATGAATCTATGCGATTTGCAATTAAGACATCATGGAAAAGTTTGAATTTTAATCTTAGTTTTGTTTTTGAATTGTGGCATCTGTGTGATTTTGAAGACATCGAGAGAAGATGTCAACTCCGGCAAGGAAGAGACTTATGAGAGATTTCAAGAGGTTGCAGCAAGATCCTCCTGCTGGAATTAGTGGTGCTCCTCAAGACAACAACATCTTGCACTGGAACGCTGTTATCTTTGGGTAAAACATTTGCTTTTTTTCACTTATGGTAATAACTTGTTTTTTTCGTCTCGTCTTGTCTTGATTCTGATCTGCTTCATGGAACCTGCAGTCCGGATGATACACCTTGGGATGGAGGTATGATTTGTACAATTAAAGTGTATTCCTTTTTCCATATAGGACTAGAGAAACATGAACTTATATAGATTTAATCCTTGTTAAGTACCACCATTTTATGTTAATCTTTCAGGTACTTTTAAGTTGACCCTTCAGTTTACAGAGGATTATCCAAACAAACCACCAACTGTTCGTTTTGTTTCTCGGATGTTTCATCCCAATAGTAAGTTATGAGTACACAGAGAAACTATGCTTTGCTCTTATAAATGTTATGGTATAATCTCTGTCTCCGTTACTTTATCTTATTGTTTCTCCTGGCTGTCTTGTTCAGTCTATGCAGATGGAAGTATTTGTCTTGATATCCTACAGAACCAATGGAGTCCTATTTATGATGTTGCAGCAATCCTTACATCTATCCAGGTTTGAATCCTTGTGTGTCATTTCATCTTTTGAGATTATCCATCTCAATGTAGAACCAATTGATCAAAACGGTTTTTGCGGCTTTTTTTTTTTACGATTTGCAGTCACTCCTCTGTGATCCAAACCCGAACTCACCTGCAAACTCAGAAGCTGCCCGCTTATTCAGCGAGAACAAGCGAGAATACAACAGACGGGTTAAGGAGATTGTGGAACAGAGTTGGACCGCCGATTAATAAGCTATCGGTACTCAAATCTTCTGCGCTCAGATTTTATTACATTTGAAGAAGTGGAGGTGATCAAACTGGTAAAAACGAGCTGACATTAATCAGTTTTCTATAATCAGTTGTTTCATTATGCCTTCAATTCAATATATATGTACTGTAATAATGTTTGGATAAATCGCATATATTTTCTGAATTGTTGTTCAATTGGTATCTTTGTTTGTAAGTCTCTCCGATTCAATATAGTATATGGATATGGATTCTATAGTTGATTATATCCGATTTGTAGGGAGGAGTTAACCAGCTGATGATTAAGATGAACAGAACAAATAACATAATGTTCAAAACAGACCAACTTTTTTCAGAAACGTTTTGGCAAAATCATAGATAAAGCTGATGATATTGTTCTAGATGATTCATTAACTAAATAACATATTCAATTGGGCAGTTTTACATAAAAGCTATATCTAACTAGTGAACTGTATAATTTGACTACTTAAAACTCCAAATGAAACGAATTATTAGTTGCTATATAAGAAATGAAATGACTCCATTCATGCATGATAACAATCACATTACTGTTCGTGTACATGAATTTAAAGGTCATAACTCACCTGACCGTTGAAAACACACTTCAAAAACCTTTGGGGTGCCAGATGGCACCTAGAGTCCCCCCAAACACTTCAGTGTTCATCAGATTGATTCATCATCGGTCCGATAGAAAACAAAGTATGAACAATGAAGCGTTTAAGGGAACTCAAGGGGACATTTGACTTTACATGTTATGTCTTCTTGCTAATGATGCTTCTCTTACTCATGTTCTTAGTGACAACCAAAACTACATATTTATATAAGCTTCTCCACATTGTATTTTTCATTGTTGTGAAGGAATTTTTCAGGGAGGGACCGTAGATTATATATTCTCCATTGAATAGCAAAACATGTGGGAAATACATATATGAAGATGAACCAAGTCAGAATTTTGGGAATTAGGAGCCAAGCGAATATTAATATCTTTTGCTACATAAGCACATTCTTCACAAGATTTCTTCTGGTAGATCTTATTCTTCTATTTTTTTTTTTCAATGTAATTGCTTAGTTAGCCAAGAATATTTCAACGAAGTTACAAAACCAGAGTAAAAATAATCAAAATTACAAATGTAAAAAAATCTATAAAACCATATAACATGCATTGGTCTTGGACCTGAGAGAATATATGGGATTCAGCACATAAACTCTTTAATTATTAAGAAAGAAAAAGTCTACAAAACTATGAAAGTATATCACGAATTTCACAATATTCTTTCTATTTCATTTTAAGTATTATTTCAGATTTTACAAACAATTTAAGAAATCATGTAAAATTCATTCTTTACATAAAAACATTATTAACTAAAACTAATTTAACTAATGAGAAAACAAAAAGAGTAAAGGATATCAATGGTCAAAAAATCAAATACATTTAAAAAAATTTGTATAGATTTTTATTTAAGTCATCATTTAAAAAAAAAAAAATCCTCAAACATCACTTAGCACATGCGCACAAGAAGCAGCAAACAAATTCGTGTGTGCATTTGCATGTATACGAGTGTACATGCAAATTCTCTAGCATCTAAACGTGTATAGAAACGTACCTCGCAAAAAGCTGAACAGGGAAATGATTTATACACTTTTCTTGACAAAAAATGATTCCTTTACGTACGTACGCTTAACGCCCTTAACCTGAATTCACGTCTACATTCAAAATGCTTCCAATTGTGTATATATGAAACGCCAATTTCTCCATTCTTTTTCAAATCTAATTCTCCCATATGCTCAATACATAGTAACCAAACATCGTTTTCGTCGGATGTTTCCTAGAGTTCCTCTGAGCACTTCATTGGAGATACCATTTTCTATTAAATAGTATTCTACTGAAGTGTTTGGGGGAACTCCTGGACTCATTCGATAATATATATACTAAGTTTGATTTGGTGTTACATATACTTTTGTTCGATATATGTATTGGTAAGGTAAGGGATCAAGTAATATATATATATATACCATTGTATTAACATAATAACATATCATCTTGCTAAACTGCTTCTTTTTGTTTTGTCCAAAGAAAAAAAAAACTTTTGTTTTGTTTGTCTAATTTTCTCATGCTCTTCGGTACCTTACTCACCTTATTGTCTATATACAGCTTTTTGTTAATATCTCCCCTTTTTATTATTTCTCAATTTCCCGCATTTAGCTAAAACCTTTATCTATTGTCTCGGGGAGTTAGTATTTTCGCAAAGTATTTTTTTGAGGTTTTAGACTATCAATCGTAGTTCGAGTACTTGAGATATGTATTATTCGTTTAGAACAACATTATTGGTGGAATCTTAACAAGTATCTTAAACTAAAATTTGTTAAGATATTATCTTATATATGATTTAACAAATCTTAGCTTATTAAGATTTCACCAATAATGTTGGTCTTATAAACTTTGGCAGAGAAGATGAACAACTATATATATATAAATAAATATGTGGCTTTTGTTAATGTCGGAAGGGATGTTCAAATCCTAAGATTTGGCTATAGGTAGTATGTTAATTAGGGTATCTTACATTAATTTAGTATTAAATTTGAAAAAGTAGAGTTTAAGAGTTTTAATTTTGTTTTTAGTTTTGAGATGTGTTTATTGGTAGGATCTTAAGTTGAGTATCTTAGAAAAAAATTATTTTTTAAAAAACTATATATATTTATAATTTGTAATTTAAGAAAATCTTATAATTATTGCAAATTTGGAATTTAAAAAATACAAAAGATAGAAATTATCAGGTAAAGTACAATAGTTTTAAACTTGATTGTGAGAAAATTTTGTCCATATATGCTCGATCAAATAAATTGTTTACACTTTAACTCAATAAAACATGGAACTAAAATACTTTAAAGTAGATGATAGAGTCAAAATTTAATATACTTCGATGATTTCAAAATCAAGATACTTATATATATTCAGTTTTAGCATCGTTCAGTTTTGACATATATAAAAAATAGAAAATGTCATAGATAAAAATATTAAAAAGTATGAAACTAATTCATTAATTAAATATTTTAATCAAACTAAAACTAAAATATCAAAAAATCAAAAATATATATTTTTTAAGAATTTTTCGAGCCGACCTGAGCCTGACCGGGTTAAATCCAGAAAATCCTTTAGCCTAAAAATAGAATAATATTTTTTTCTCTATCATATATTTGTCTAGCCAATAAAAATATGCTGATTACAAAAAAAAATAATAATAAAAAAAAAAAAAAAATATGCCACGTAGATGTCTCTTAACTCACACAAGATCTCTTATATAACATACTTATCTTACAAATAATAATGTTTAGGATTTAAATTTAAATGTTAATTTAGATAAGATCCTCCTTAAATCCTCCTGATAATGGTGGTCTAATGTTGCTCTAACAGTTATGCCTCGGATCACTATTTACATATCTCGATCGGGGTAGTGTGTCTTCCTATGTACTTGTTTTCAGTGAGTATTTGAGATTAGCAAACGTAGTAGATCAATGTTTATACACTTAATAAAACTTACAATATTCTGATTGGTTAAAGACTTAGAGTAAGTATGTACTTATATATACGACACATAGGATTTTCAGCACATATATATGCTTCATAATTAAAATATAGAGGTTACATTAGTTAATAATAGGATTAACTTATTTTAAAACAAAGACACTCTCTCGATGAAACAAAGACAAAAGACGATTGATAAGAGCTTATGAGAAAAAAAGAAAACACAACCAAAAGTTCATTATCCCCTCTCAATGCGGTCTGAGCATATCGCCGTTGGGTAGACACACTCGTCTCAGCCAGATGGTTAACCGGTGCTTACTTCAGTACTCTTTCTTACAAATTTGAGATTTTGGACCTCTACGTCGATTTCGAACTTGACGATTAGTAAGATGTAAATGATTATAATTAAAAACGAAAACCCGTCCGAAATGTTGTCCTTAAATGTTTGCTCTTTGGAAATGTTCTAGCTACAGCCTACAAGATGTATATGGAAACATGAGTATTTGGAAACGTGAAAACATAAAATTGTGGTGACTACAGTTAATTCTAGAATTATTATTATGACAACCTGCCTCTAGACTAGGACGGACCCTGCGACTCTGCAATAGTGGTAACCGCTGGAATTAGATCGTCTTTCATGTCCCACCACACCTCTATTTTAGCTGTCGCGTATACAGGCTTGGCCGCGTAGTTCTTTCCCCACATCCTCGTTACCCTCTGCATGCTCTCTACTCGAGAGATTTTTCTTGAATTTTTCCACGGACCACGGTGTTGGTCTCGAATTAATTACAAGATTTGCAATAAAAGAAGGCATGTACAAAGGAACTTTTTTTTGTTTCGAATATATTTTCACTCATTAAAAAAAAAAAAAAAAAAAAAAGGCATGTGGTAGTAATTCACATGTTTCTCTGCAGATGAATTGTTCATCCTTGGAGTACCTTAGTAATTTTTTCTAGGGACACTCTGCAGAACTGACTAAGGGTGAATTTGGCTCAAAAACAGAACTGAATGAATAAGCCACAAAGATGTTGTATTGGGACTATTGTTGTAGCCTGGACAGATCCAAAGATCCACCTGATTAGATATGAGCATCATCGTAGTCGAACAAGAGTTATGATCTCGCCATATCAGCATATCCGTAAACATTTGTGAGCATGTGCTTTCTGGAAAAGATTGTTGGAATTTTGATTAGGGTAGGGATGGTTCAAACTTAACTAAGATTTTAAATTATAAATTCCAGAGATCGAAAACAGTTGGACTAACCGGAGACGGTATGTGCAACATTGACTCCAGTTGAAGAGAGCCCTTGCAAGAGATGAGCAGAGGTTTGTTTCTGGTCGCCAAAGCCAGTGATGAAGACAGAACCAGAGTAGCCTAGTTTCTTGAACGCTCTTTCTAAACTCTGACGGACACGACGAGCATTCATAACCTTCGGGAATCGGACAGTCGCTCATGTCCCCCCCATACTGCTATTTTAGCTGTCGCGAATCCAGGCGTCGCCCGACCGTTCTCATCACACATCCTCTAAAGTCTAAACCTAAACAAATCACAGCACAAGTCATCCTCGATCTGTTTTTTTTTTTTCAAGTTTGGATGTACGTATACACAACACTAATGGGCCTAAATGAAAGTCCATTAGTTGTAAGGTGTCGGATGTTTTAATAGAGAAAATAAGAAAAATAAATTACGCTTTGCTCTTATTTATGTTTAATGA